TATCATTCTTCTACTCTAACACTCCTAATTACTGACAGTATAAACTTATCAGATTAAAATTTGACAATTTCTGCATCCTCTTTTTACCTGTGGCTTAAGAACAAAAAATGTAGCTCTTTGCCTTTCCTCCGCCATCGGGCAGCACACACCTAACTTAGATTCTCGCCATGTCTTCTCACAAGACTTTCAGAATCAAGTGATTCCTGGCCAAGAAACAAAAGCAAAATTGTCCTATTCCTCAGTGGATTCGGATGAAAACCGGTAACAAAATCAGGTACAACTCCAAGAGAAAACACTGGAGGAGAACCAAGCTGGGCCTGTAAGGAAGAATTCACACAATGGCAAGACTGGGAGTTTGTACTGAATCATGGTTAACATGATCTATCTGCCAGATGGATGGAGATCAAGATTATTAACCTGCAGATTTGGTCATGTTTAAATTGGGAATGATTTGTCCAGTAATAAAAAATATAATATGGAGTCTATCAAAAAAAGAAAAAAGAAGAAAAATGTAACCTGATTAATAATAGAGTTTTTTCTCATGCTATATACATTCTGATCAACATGTAAACTGTTTTATCAAATACCTCCTATTTTAAGTCACTATAATTATCCTTACTTCTGCCAATAACTATGTTTTTGTTGGGAAGGCATAGGTACTATATAATTTCTTCTTCTAGTGATTCAATTGAGCACACAAAAACACTGCAGCCCTCTAAGCAAGCTTATTAATTATATTGGGTATATTGGTTTTATTTTAGCTATAACATGATTCTGCCAAAATTCCAACTTCTGAGAACTTCAATGAATTTTTCTGTCCAACATCAATCCCTCTCCTGGCTCTTCTTATTCCAGCCCCAGAGAAACTGGAACAACTTAGCTTCCTCCCCTGACTCCTATCAGCCATGGACAGCCCTACTCCAGTCTCAGTACACCTTCACTCAAGTACCTATAGTTGTTGCAAGGATCTTCTTAACAATCTGATTTCACCCGCTTACTTCAAAGATTAGTGCTATTCTGACACTTACATTATGCCTTGGCTCATTAATAACACTGTTCATGGCCATCTGTGTACTCACTAAAATGACATTTTAAAAATTGTAGCATTTTCTACATCCAGCCAACTAGGCCTTATTATAGTAACTTTAGGTGTAAATCAACCCTATCTGGCTTTCCTTTACATCTGCACATGTGTTTGTCAAAGCTATGCTTTTTATAGGCTCAAGATTCATTACTCATCCTACATGACAAACAGGACATCCAAAAAATAGGTAATCTATTAAAAAATAATAATAAAATAAACCCTTTCCATTTACATTATCCCGTCTATATAATGGTAGCTTTTCTTTAACTGGCATACCTTTCTTTATAGGATTGTAGTTAAAAAAAAAACAAAAACAAAACCTAAGCATTAAAACTGCTAATACATCCCATACAAACACCTGAGCCCTGGCCTTCTTTTTCTTTGTTGTATTCATCCATAGAAAGCTGACTGAATATTTAGTGTAACTTCATTAATCCTATAGACTTAGGGAGAATTAACACCTTAAGATATTAAGCCTTATAATTTAGTTATGTATTAGATCACTGTATTTAACCCTTAATGTTGCTAAATATTTTCTTATTTTAACAGGCATCTATTTACTACAATTATTTTCAGGTGTCTGATCTTTGGGGTTCTGTTGTGCATAGTATTGTTTTTAAATACATTCCTTGTGATGCTGACATATAAAAATACAATTGACCACATATGTATATTAACTGTATTATTAGTAATCCAATTAAGTAATCCATTAATCCTAGTATTTTTCATTCCATATATTTTCTTTACACATCTGTGAGTAATAAATTAATATAAATTTAACATATTCCTTTCAACTGTTCTCTCACATTCACTGCCTTTGTTTAAAGCCATGTTAGATCATTGAGCAAAAAAAAAAAAAAAAAAAAAAAAAAATGGTGCTAGAACCAGCATGGTGGTATATTCTTGTAACAGCACTCAAGAGCAAGAGGCAGAAGAAACATGAGTATAAAGCCAGGCTAAGCTACATGGTGACACACTGTCTTGCTATGCATGGTGCCTTTATGGAGAACATAGGACAACTTGCAGAAGTTCCCCTAGGCTTGGTAGCAAGTGCCTTCACTGCTGAGTTGTCTTTCTAGCTGTTTAAAGCTTTTGGAGCAGACCTGGAGTAGTGTATGCTTCAGGTTAGACTACTCTTGCTTCAGGCTTGGGAAGCTGTATGGCTTTCAACTTCTGAGGCACAGCCCTGTTGATTTGTAGCACACCCCTAGAGTGGTCTAAGGCTTTCTTCACCCTGGTTTATTGGATCTGGATGCCTTCCAGTCTTGTCTGAGCATCATTAGTTTTGAGGCCATGGTGTTCCAATGTACTTTCTTTCCCTAACTGTTATTCTTGGTTTAGAGTTGTAGATTCTAGTACCTAAAAATAAGTTTGTTGCCCAGAAAACAAAAATTAGATATTTTATTCATATTTCTGTAGTTGCCTCTTTTCTGTTACTGTTGTTCACACGTTATTCAAGATTGCTTTACTCAGAAAAATTGCAATGCTTTTGTGGGGCCTCAGCTGTGTCCATGGCATTAGTACCTGTGGTCCAGAGTCCCCTTTTCATGGATAGTCACACGAGTGCTGCTTTGGTACCATGCTCTATCAAGGCTGGATGCCAAAGCTTTGGTCTGTGCTACAATTAGATGGATCACATTTAGAACTGGTATGCGTTTTTGTTGAATGAACTAGCTGATCATTATAAAACGATGCCCTTATACCCAAAGGAGGCACACTCATACCACAAGGACATTTGATCAACTATATTCATAGCAGCATTATTCATAATAGCCAGAACTTGGAAACAACATAGATGCCCCTCAGCTGAAGAATGATGTTCTTAAATACAGTACATTTATGCAGTAAGAAACAATGACATATTTAAATTTGTCGGCAAATAAAAAGAACTAGAAAAAAAAGAATCCTCAGTGAGGTAACCCAGATCTGGAAAGACAAATATTGTATGTACTCACTCATAAGTAGATAGCAGACATAAAGCAAAAGATACCTAGCCTACAATCCATACATAACCCCAGAAAAGCTAGATCCCCCTTCCAGAAATGGATGAAGGCAGATGTAGAGATATATACCTATCCATTGGGCTGAACTTCTGGAGTACAATCATAGGGAGGGAGGAGCGATAATGTGAACAAAGGAGTCAAAACCATGATGGGGAAACCCACAGAATCAGCTGACCTGAGCTAGTGAGAGATCACTGACTCTGCACTGGAAACCAGCACAGGACTGAACCAGGACTCCTGAATACAGGTTACAATGGTGAGGCTTAGGCAGTGTATGAGGCCACTGGCAGTGGGACCAAGATCTAACTATAATTCTTAAACTGAGTTTGTGGAGCCAATTCTCTATGGAGAGACACCTCGCTCAGCCCAGACGTGATTAGGCAGAGGTGGGGCGTTGGTCCTGCTTCAACCAGGTGATGGGACAGACTTAGTTGACAGCCTAGGGTAGGCCTTACCTTCTCTGAAGGATGGATGGGAGGTGAGATTGGGGAAGAAGGGACTAGTGGGAAGAGAGGATGGAGGCGGCAACTGGGATTGGAATGTTAAAAATAAAGTTTAAAATTAAATTTAAAACAATCATGTCTTTACCTCTGATCTTCTTGCTTTAAAGTCTGCTCTTGCTACTTATAGTTTTTGTTCTGTTTCTGTTGTTGCTGTTGTTTTTCAGGATTAGTATTTGTGTAACATATATTATTTCATATTCAAGTGTTCATTCCTCTACTTAAAGTATTTTTAAGTAAACAATAGTAAAGTTCAAGAGTCCTATTTGGGGTGTATTTCCTGGTGCTATTTCTGAGTACATTGCACTCCTAACAGAAGACAGATGGCATTCCCAAGAAGAACAGGGATTTGATACAGGGCTGACTCATAATGGTTTGGTCAAAATACAAGGAGTCTGTAAAGGACTCACAGGTACCCTAGAGTTGGCAACAACTAAAGAGTACAAGCAGCTTTAAGGGAAGTGGGAAGGAAAGGTAAGATCCAGGAAGAAAATACACCCACAGAATCACCATAAGAGAAGGTGGGCTCTTTGGCCAAGAGACACAACCAAGGGGAAGCAGAGCTTCCTCTGAATCTTAGACCTTCCATCAATACTTCATTGTCAGGACCAGTGAAAAACCAGAGCAGAGGAGAGGCCTTCTGATGAGAATATAAAAGGCAGAGAACAGTGTTAAACAGTAGAGGGCACATTATTCTAGGAGATGTGCTGATTTGTCCTCAAAGGGTCATGTGATGGAAAGTTGTTTCCCAGTGTGGTGGTGTGAACATGGTAGGTAATGGTAGGGTTGGTGCAAGGCCTAGGGCTTACCTCATGAATGAATAAATATTGCTTCAGGAGAGTGGGTCAGTTTATGTGGGACTGGACTATTTCCTGCAAGATTGAGTTGTTATAAGTCTCTTTTTTCTCTCTTGTTTCTCTCTTTCCCTCTCCTCACTCCCTCCCTCCCCTTTCCCCCCCCCACGTCTGTCTTCTTCACATACTCCCACTATTGTGATGCCATATTGCCATGAGTTTATCACATCCTCCATCCAAAACTGTGAGGTAAATGTCTCTATATAAAGTATCAAGACTTTTTTTCTTTTTACAACACAATGCAGATTATGACAAAAGGTTTCAAGATTTTTTTGTTTATTATCCTGTTTAAATTTAAAGGACAGGAAAATACTACAGCCTTATAAACTTTTCTTTTTTCCAGAACTAAATATCCAACCAATACTTAAAAGGAGGGTGAAAGGACATTGAGATGTTCTTGTCTCTTTTTACATCCTTCTCTAAAGAAGAATGCTTCTTGTAAGCATCATAGAGTTCACAAGACTAACTCAAAATCATTCTAGAGCTTATTTTGTGCAGTCCTAAAAATAACAGACACCTGAGCTTATTTATATTCACCAACTCTTCTAAATATTTTTATTAATGAATCTACATAGACATGATAGTTAACAATTCAATATAATAAATAATTTCAGATAAATAAATCATTTTTAGAGCCCTTGGGGCTTACAAAAAGAATCTTTAAAGATCCATATTTATCATCTGAAGACTAATAGTTACAAAAAATAGTAAACAATATATCCAAAATAAATATAACTTTAAATATTTAAATAAATAGAAATCCTGTGTGTTGTAAGTAGGAGGCTCATAATTATTGAGTCATTGTTGCAGTGATGCTTTGACAGAAGGTGATCCATCTGCTCAGAAATTCCACCACAGTTACTGTCTCATCATCAAATTCACACGTGTTTTCAGAGCCCTAAAAAAGAACATTAAGTTTTAGGCTAAGATAATTTATTTTAACACTTGCTAAATAAATTAATCATTCACACTTCTTAAATGATCAAAATTGTCAGATTGTGTTTTTCATAGTGCCAAATAATAAAATCATACAAGATAAAATTTCCTGAGTACAAATGAACATCTGAATGAAAACATTGACCTCTTCTGGAGAATGCAGTTAGTTGTTTGATCACTTTTTCTTTGGCAAGTGCACATAGCTACACATTGATTTAAGTTTGGATAAAGAAAGGATACATGCTATATGTTCTTTTCTAAACCTAAGATTCTATTAGTGTCTTATTTCCCCAGGTCAGGGCAGAAACAACTCAGAGAGGGTTAGGACAAAAGTCTGTTGGGAGAAATTTGGAGAACATTTATAGAGATGCCTGCCCTGGTATCAATACAGATGATTCTCCCAGTTTGGACAAGTAGAAATGTTATGAATTTGTTGTGTATATTTGGCTTTTTGGAAGCTAACCTCCTTTGCTCAAAGGAGGTATTTCAACTCTGTTTCTAGATGACAAACTGAGAAGGAAATATTTGACAGATTTATGGGATGGCTTTTCCAAATCTGAGTGACCCCTTGTAAATCAAATGAGACAGAGCATTTCTTTTTAATAAATGTTCTTTTTAAAATAAACTGAAGTGATCTTATGGACCCTCTTTACATTGCTACTGGAATGTTCTAACATCTTGGATGTGTTTTAAGTATGCAGCTCTTGATTGAAACATGCTTTCCTAGTTTTCATGTACCTCTAAAATTCATGCCATTCATTTGGGGTGACCTTTCTACTGTGAGCCAGAGATTTTAGAGGAGACTTCTTTGCATAGATAAAGATCTGAGCCTTTCAAGGCCTAGGTGACATGGATCTGGCCTATTTTACAAGCTCAGGTGAAAGCAATGAAAGGGAAAAGCAAGTTTAGCCTGGCACCATCTTGGAGGCTTGCTGCTACTGCTGAAATCTAAATGATGCTACTTGCTCAGGATACCTGTTGACTCAGCAATTTTGTTTGACAGATGGAATGAGAAAAGAGAGCTTTGATGCTGCTTTGCCTCACTAAAGTTCATATTTCTTGTGCATTTAAAAACAAAGTCCTGAAATGGGCTCTCACTGTCCTCCTCTGCTCATCTTAATGGCTGCTGTTTGGAGAGACAAATCTCTGTGTTCTTCCACCAATGACCACACAACCTCTCTGGATCAGATCATTGGCCCTGGTCTGATAAACATATGAAGGCAACAAAAGCTGCCTGTTCCTTGTAGAACTCTACTCTGTACGTCTCACTTCAAATTCTATGCTAGTATAAGAAGAAGCAGGGTGTTCCCAGAGTTTCACTGCAGATAATGGTGGGAAGATTCATGCTCTCAGTGGACCTTAGTTTGTCTGATTAAATGCATGGAATCTGACAAAGACCAGAAATGTCATGCCGTTTTAGAATGTAATTCTTCTCCCCTTTAGTTTATTTCCAGCTTAGCAAATAAAGCAACATCTTACCTTTAGTTTCCCAACTGTTACTCTGATGTTGCTGATGAAATCTTCCAAGAGATTGTTTTTGCTTTGAGCCAAATCCAGCACATGGTGCAGGGCTCCAAGTTCTTCTTCCAGGCAGTGGAGATGTTTCAGTTCTGTGGCCTAGAGTAGTAATAAGCATAACTCTCAGCTTGGTTACCATATACTGAAGAACCAGAAGGTAATCTGCAGTTTATCTAACCAAGAGTAGGCAGCGTTTAGCTTTTACTCCCTGTTATCAGTGTAAAGAGGGACTGAAGTGGTGGATACACTAAATCCAGAAGAGCAAGAGCTCAAAGTCCCATGCTTAACATTAACTGTTGGGTCATTCAAGTTGTTGTAGCTTCATTAAACTTTGCCAAAAGTCTGTATTTCCCTGTCACAATGCATATCACAGGTATAGACTACTTTTCCACTCTGCAAGGAAACCATAGAGAGATGATGTAGAAGTGTGATATTCTACACTCTATTGTCTAATGATCCCAGAATTGAGAATCACAGAATATCAAGGGACAGGAGACCTTGGATGCCAGTTGTCACAGACCCAGATCTTACAGATTGGATAATCATGAACCAGAATGATAACTGTCAAGATACCCAGGAAAGCAAACTTAATATTTCTTGAATTTTTACTTCTCTGCAATTACTAAAGCTGATTTTTTTAGAGAACTATTTGTCAGTCAGAATATTGGAGATGTTTCCTGTACATTTCTGAAAGAATATGTAGATACACATATATCATATATATCATGCATATTTATGCATCTATACAGTGGGAAAGAATATTGTCTAGTACTATAGTACACTATGAATTTCCATAAAAGTCATCCACTTAAAGCAGCAGGTCTTCCAGAAACAACCAGTGTCCTGGGTTATCTCCATTTTACTAAGTCTCAGAACCTGTGTCTTCCTCACAGCCACATGAGGACCGAGAGTGGCATGGTCACTCTTTTTCATTAACTACACTCTTTAAAAAAATGCTTCTATTATTTTTAAAATCTTACATATATAAAGAATGAAGATTAAAGTTTAAAAAAATCTCCACGCTTTATCATACTACTGTTGTTTCCAATAGTTATTTAAAAACTCAGATTTCTGTAAATTTCACCACTCTCTAAATTAACATGGTTTCATATCTGTCTAATGATCCCTAGAGGAAGGGGTCTGACAAGACCACATATAATTCTAGATTTATCTACCTATTGCCTTCCAGCTTGTTATGAGGAGTTTTGCATTTCAGTATGGTGTTCTCCCTCAGAACTGTCTAGGTTTTTAGTGTTGGAGTTGAAAATTATATGACTCTAATCTGGGACAGCACTCGGGGCCATTTCCTTTTTTTCTCCAGTAGAAAAGCTAGAGGCAGAGTTCCTGACTTCATAGCAGTGAGTCAGCAGCATCTCCTCTTTGTCCCCTTAGATCCCATGTTGCTCTAGGCTTGGATTAATCCTGGGACAAGCTCTTCCTAGCACCAAAGTCGTTCATCCTCGTTTGACTGTCAGGACTGTAGCAAACTTCTACTCTTGATATAGCTCGAGGAGCTTGGGTGAGCTGTTGCTTATCATACAACAGTCTCCATACAAAAGAGACCAAAAAGTTTTCAATATTGTGAGATAATGTCACATAGAGTTACTACAGCTCTCTGGTTCCCCAGTTTTAAAAAAAGACTATATAAATCCAAAATTATATTTTATGTTTCAGACTTTTCTTCACTAGTACCAATAGCATGTTTTATGTGGTGCTGGCTAGACACTTCTGAAGCCTGCCAAGCTATAAGCATACAATTATCATTTATGTAAGTGGGTGAATGATCATAGGCACCTTTCCAAGGATGTGAGAGCTAAGGCCTAGCAGAGCAGGAGCTTCACTTTAGACATCTTCCCTAACGTCTGTGAATTCACATATCCTCAGTATATGAGGAACATATACTGTTCCTAAAAAATAGTCGTAGAGGTGTTCCTTACAACAGTAAAGTGTCTATAAAATGAGACCCTCTGAAGTCAATTTTGACATTTCACAAGTTAAAATAATGTATCTAGTCAAATATCTCTAGGATGATCATAAACCAGAAATCACCACAGTCTTTAAATTATCCCAGCATCAAAATCCAATTATCCTGTGTTTTCTTCTCTTTTTCTCTTTTCCAACACACAAATACATAAGAAAAATCTAGACACAACCATTTAAAAGAAATGGCATTATCAAGCAGGAAATTTTACATGCAGATATTAAAGAGACGTTTTCTTCAGATGAAGTACTATTCACTCGACCAGTGTGCAAACATACATGCTACTTTGAATTCATCAAAGCAACAATTGAACATAGAAAGTCACTTACCTTCTTGGGCATGTAAAATTTAAACGTGAGCATCATGGGGAGTTTCTGATTCTTGTTATTCTGAGAAAGCATAACGCATTGTTATTAAAACATAACCTTTGGCAAAAAAAAAAAAAAAAAACTATAAAGACAATGCCTATAGACAGGAAGGACAGCACTTACATTGATCCTGCTCAGAAGCAACTGTAAGTCCAGCAGTAACTGCTTGAGGTGCTGCTGTGTTTCCTTTTTAGAGCTTGAAGTGGGTGCGCTGTTGACAAGGAGTGCGAGCGTCAGTGCAAGACAGGATGCAAGCTGCATATTGTACATGCCTGCAGGACTAGAGGCCACTGTGAGTAGTGATTAGCAAGTGTGATAGGCAGCTCTCCAGCATGGGAGGCAATTTATAGTGTTAATGCTGGAAAAATAATCCGGGGGTGTCAGTATGTTTTACATATTACACATATTTTCAAAGACTCTACCTGTGTGGCAGAAAGCATTACCTTTGTTTTCCCTCTTCTGATGACTCTCTGGAATTTCTTTAAGCCCCCATATGCTGACTGAATGGATGAAGGTGAAATCCCTCTTGGTTGAGCTAGCCCACACTTTGGTGGCAGTTTTCATTCATACAATGAACGCCTTCTATATGAAGCAAATTTTCCTCTTTTCTTTAAGGGGGTGGAGATACAAAAGTAACTCATGAAAATGCTCTTTGTCAAAGCCACCCTGAGCCTGTAAGCAGCCTGTTGTGGTGGACAAGCGCAAGAGGAGAGAGATGAGCAGAATAAATCTTTGAGATTTGTTGATTAGACAGGAAGAACATTGGTTTCCTGTTCCAGGATGGTTTTACCTTCTTATCTACGTGATGAGCTAATTGCACACAAGGTGATAGGCTGCTTCCTACACTTAGCCAGAGAAATAGTAAGACGAGGACACTTAAAACACTTTTGAGTTTGAGGTATTTTGAATTTTTTTCATTTTAATTTAATATGTTTCTGTGTCTGTTCAGATGTGTTAATGTTTATTACGCTTTTTAGAAAGAGTATGATGTCTAACAAGTTCTCAGGAAGGTTAGCATCTAAGATTGTTGATGCTATTTTTATATGTTTCTAGTTGCACTTTCATTCTTTTAGACAGAGAGAGGAAGGGAGGGAGAGAGAGAGAGAGAGAGAGAGAGAGAGAGAGAGAGAGAGAGAGAGAGAGAGAGAAACAGAGAGAGAAAGAGAGAGTGCAGTTAGCTATCCAGTACTCTCCTATCACCATGTGTGACCCAGGAATCTGAACTCGTATCATCTGGTGTGTGTGCAAATGCCTCTATCCACTGAGCCATCTCAACAACCTTATTTTCCCTTCTTTAATAGTTTTGGATTTCTCCTCAAAAGTATCTGGGACACTATGACAGTAATAGCAAGGGATCAAGGGAACATTACCATGTGTTCTCAGTGGGTAGATTGAGAGGAATACATCAGGTGCCTCATCCTCAGTACAGTACACTGGCTGAGTGATTGAAGAGGAAGAAATTTCCAGTTCAGCTGATAAAGATGAGATCCTTCTCAAAGAAGTTACCTGTGACATCTCCATTTTTAGTGCCTTGTACTGGTCTAGTCTTTATGCAGACATTTATCTAGCATCTAAACCACCCACTGGGTACATAGAAAGGGAAAAATATGTGCCTTATCACATACCTGTGACATGATCCCATTTTGTAGAACAAAATACTGAGTATCAAGGCTGCACCCTAATCCCAGAACTCACATAAAGTTGGAGGTTACTCAGCCATTCCTGCCAGTAAAGGGTAGGATGAAGATTCGTAACTAGAATGTTCTGACTCCAAAACCCACTCTCTTGCCATCTGTGTTCCTGTTGACCTAATGCTTAGACATAGAAATAAGATCCTAAGTAAATGGTGGATGGTGAGTATTGAAAAGAATTTTGAAATTAAACAATTACTTTAAACTGAATTTTGACACTGGGGATAGTGGAGGCTGGACTATTGTAAGGAATATTGGCTTGTAATCTCTCACAAAGAACTAAGGGAATGGTTCTGGGATAATTCTCCATGTTCTGGAAAGCAAAACAAAACTGCATATATCTTGCAGTAAGTCTAACAGTTCCTTGAGTGTCATGATTGAAGGAAGACAGGTTGGGAGCAGGTCTCCTGGTCCTTATTTGTCACCTAAAAATTCAGAAGTTTTTTCTGTGCCCTTCAGACTGAAGCATGCCACCGTGAAAGCAGGCTACCTGGTGACTGGTCAGCTTCACTGCTCTTGTTTCTCAGATCTTCATTCTCCCATCCCAGCCCAGGAAACTCATGTCTCCCCCTTCCAGAATGGAATAAATCAGGCCCACATATTTTCCTGTGTGGGGGCTTTCCCCCACATCAAGGCCTTTGATGTCCTCATGGGCTTGATATCTATATTTCTCCAGAGGTTTCCATTAGAGAAATTTACATGGCTACATTTCTAATTGCATAATACCATTGCATAATAGGCACCATTACAGAAGTTGCCTTCACCATTTCTTGAAGTGCTTGGGGGAGAAAGCTACCAACAAGTGTGGTGCACTTTCCATTTTTAACGTGCTTGACAGAGCAGCTGGGTTTTCTGGCTGAAGTGGTGATATAATCAGTAGCAGCCTGACTACCACATGTGTCATAACCCACAGAGCTCTGATGTTCAACCTTAGCTATTTTAGCTGCTCATAGAGTCCATTGTTAGGACAGCTGCAGTCCCTAGAGCTGCTGAGCAGGAAGCCAGTCAGCCATTGTGCATGTTGTCCATCCATCCCTGCAAACTACTTCCGAGGACTCTGCCTCCCACAAGAATTTATTTTTCCTGATCTTTCAGTGGCTTAAAGCTTCAGTTTGGTTTGGTGTGTGCAAGGCCAGCGTTAATTCATCTCACTTGTTTTTTTAAAGCCCCTTGGTACTCAGTTCAGATCCTGTCTTTTCCCTTTCAAAGTAGGGTGTACTGTTTGTGAAATCTGCTTTTCCCCAGGGTGATGCTCAGACTTGGTCTTCCAGGCGGCTTCTAATGCTTATGACCCTCAGCATGGAAACAATTTTGTCTTTCTTTTGTACTTTTAATTTTTAGAAGTTTTCAAATACATTCTCAGTGAGTCATATTTAATGAATAAGAAGCTTGATATTTGAGGTGGTTGAGAGACTCCATGATTCTTGTCTTAGTTGGTGGTAGGGCTGCAGTAAAAAAAAACAAATCTTCCTGACCCTGTCACCCCCCACCTATTGTCAGGTGAGAGACAGTGATGCTGAAGTCCCTTTGAGACAGGCTAAGGTCAACTGTGCCTCCTGCTCCATCTCCCTGCAGCCTGTGAAAGATAGCTGGGGAATTCAGGGAAAGCTCTGTTTGCTTACAGCGTCTCATCTGAGCAGTTTTGGGGTCCTCAGAACTTGGAATCTGAGTGTGAGGAGCAGATGAAGTCCTGACTGCAGCATTATGTCAAGGACCCCAGTGCCTCAGACCCACAAGTATTGTCAAAACCTTCCCTGGGCCAGGCTCAGGGAATTGCAAAAGTCTTCCTCTGGTCCAGGTACACATGTTTATAGATGATGGACCAGTGTGCACAAAAGCTAGCCACCATCACTTCCTCCTCCCTAGTGACTGCTCCTCTTCAGGTACCCTCCCCCCACTAGACTAGCTTACCTGCCTCATTATGCTGTCTTTGGGTTATTGCACAGTAGGCACCCCCAAGAGAAAGTACAACCACCCCATCCCAGCTCTTTCTGTACCTGTATCTGTGTGGCTGTCCTTTCTTCATCCCCTTATTACCCATTCAGATCAAGTCCAGAGCTGTGCAGAACATGGCAGCCTAGCTTTTGCTTAGGTTTTAAAATATATCTTAGGTCCTTTAAAAATGCTAGAGACCTTGGTATTCTTAAATGTTCTCCTCTACCTAAAATAAGGAAAGGATTGTATTCCCAGTGCATCCAAGTCGTATGGTGCGATTAGGAGTGTGGTAGGAGTGCTGTGCTCTTAGGAGTGTGGTGTTCTCTTAGGAATGTCGTGCTCTTAGGAGTGCATTGCTCTAAAACTGACATGAAAATGTACTGGGGATTGTTTCACCATAGCCAGGAGAAACCTGCTACTCCCTGTGATAGGAAGAGGAGTGTGTTTCAACCCCCCCCCCCCCAGGGAATCTCAAGTAAATAGAAACCTGCATGTTAGGTCACAGGCCTTGCCTAGAGGCTGGATGTATTCCTCCTCCGACAGTGGTGATAGGTTTGCCAAACAGGGCAAATGTATAAAGCACTTTCACATCCATATACCTCATTCTTTATCTTTTAACCTCATTCCACTACAAATGGTTGGTGAAATAGTTTCATATATTCAGTAACTTTTTTCATGTTAAGAAATACAGATAAGAGCTGAGTGGTAGTGATGCATGCCTTTAATCCCAGCCCTTTGACAGAGGCAGGCAGATCTATGTGAGTTTGAGGCCCACCTGGTCTACAGAGCTGCACAGAGAAACTCTGTCTTGGAAAAAAAAGGAAAAGAAAGAAAGACAGACAGACAGATAAATATATTTTCCTCTGTCAGGGTAAGAGAATTCACCAATCTTGTGAAAATAAAGTTATTAGTAACAGTTTTTGCAGTTCACCTGCACCTGATGCTTCCTGTCAAAATTTTCTCTAAGCTCCTTTGACAGTCTGTCCTTCCTTCCTTCCATTCTTTTTTTTTTACAGTGGCTTGAATAGACTAATGACATAGTCCATCGAAGTGTCACTCTAAATAATATGTTTTTACAGGGATCTATCCCATTACTTACCATGTCATAATATATTTTTCTAATATATATTATAGAGAATTTCATAAATTAAAGCCTTTTTAAACACATGTAAATAAAAGAAAAAAAACTGTTTTGTAATCTTGCCCACTGGAGCTAGCAATTATTAACATATTTTGCTTCACAATTTTGAAGATAAGGGCAAATTATTATTATAAATAATAGTTATCCTGGAGGAGAAGAGGAGGAAATAAGGATGCTAGAGTGATCACCAAGCCCCATGGAGGTGTTGAGAGACAATCACACTGTGCAAGGCAGAAACAGAGGAGGCTCCTGCCATGGAGACAAGGGGAGTACCTGCCACATAGGGGTCACTGCTTGTGTCTCTGTGGTTAGGGCCTCCAACTAAAGCTACGTGGGCATATAACTGTGCTTCAGGGCAGGCCCCACACCTAGGAGTAGAGGCCAACATAAAACAAACCCAACGGTATTTTTGTAGACCTTTTGTCTCATATAACTTTAAGCATTTTTTCTTTTGTTTTATTGATTTTTTACTTGTGTATTTTGACTTCCAGTTTTGTGTTTTTGTGGATTTTTTTGGGGGGGTGCATGAGTTTCTTTTTTTTTTTTTTTAACCTTTTTTGAGTGTTTTGTAAATACAGAAAGAAAGGGTGTAGAGTTGAGTGAGTAGGGAGATAGGGAGGATGTGGGGGAGTTAAGAGAGAGGGA